AGGGCATCCTGCATCTTGTGGGTCTCAATATCCAAATTACCTTTTATCAGTGTCCATTCAGTAGTGGGTGATAATCAGGAGTTGTTGTTAATACCTTAAATTAAAAAAAAAAACAATTTCAACAATGCATATTTATCTCATTTGTGGATAATATGACACTGAAAGGGATGGAAACTGTTTTCTAAAATAGAACCAAAATTCCCAAAGATCTCAATGGACTGGGAAGATACAATTATACACAAGACTACAGGGTTCTTGGCTATAAAAGGCTACTTGCTCAACTATACAATGGGAAAAATATAGGACTTTGCAACACGGTACATAAAAATATTTTATGAGACTGTTAAATCCTGTATGAGTCTACAGTATAATATACATACCAGAGAAGCTTACACAATTTTAGTGTGCACCTACCAGGGTTCTACTAAGTACTTCTTGTAGTACACTTGCAATATGAAATTAATTCTGAAGATAATGCTCCTTCAAATAAGCTGGAGCACATTCAAGAGTCACCAGGGTGGGAAAGCATCTCAAAAGCATTTATATTGGAAATCGGAAAAAAGTAGGGCTGTTTTTCTTTGAGATGTCTCAAGCACCATATAACTATATTTAAATAGTTAAAAGATCATCCATCTAACTGTGTTTAAATAGTTAAAAGATCATCCATGTGGAAAAGGGATTGGATGGACTTGTATGTTCTGCTCAGCCTCAGTGCTTCTAATCTTCCTTACTTTATGTTTTCTCTTTGACACGCACTATTAGCATACTATGTTTTTTACTTCTTTTTGTTACCTGTCCCCCCGTATCCCACTAGGATGAAAACTACATGAGAGCAGGGATTTTTATCTACTTTATTCACTTACTACTTTATTTTATTGAATGATGAATGGCCCTAAGAGATTATAGTGGGATAAATGGGTGAAAGCCTTAGGGTTTCACATTTTGTTCTAGAGAAAGGGACAACTTGGCTGGAAGTGTTAAAGCTTTCTGGCCTGGCTCAGAAAGTAGTGAGTACTCCCACCCTGGAAGTGTTCAGACTTGTGCTTCCTGAGAAACACTTAGTAGAAATACTATAGAAGTGATGCTAGTATACATTTGGTACTAGATAATCTAATTTCTTGATGAGATTTTATAATTTTCTAAAACATATTTAGACTATTTTTCTTTCTTACTGCTGAGAACAGTAAGTGCTCAAGTTAAATTTACAGCTTTATATTCCAGTATGTGCTATGATATTATTTGGTCTTGAACTTAAAAGAGGTACATTTAACAACTCTTCTTGGGTTTTATATCTCCACTTTTTCCCCAAAAGCAGTGATTCTGAAACACAGACCTCTCAAAATTTGGGTACAATTATTGTAGAAACATCCCAGAAAATAAGTCCTATAGAAGATGGGAGAGACCAGAAAGAAAGTGATCAAACAGAAGACAGCCAAATGCAAGGAAGAAGTATTGTACAAACATATTCAAATGTAGATGGCAAGACCGGAAAGGTATATGACACATTTTTCTTAATTATAGCTATGTTTTTAATTGTATGCTTTATTATTTAAATCAGATTTTGTTGCCAGTGATTTAATTTGAATTCTTAAAAATTAACTTTTCTTTGAAATATGCAGTGCAGATACACACTTCTTAATATTTTCAACTCCAATTTGTTACTTTTTTTTTTTTTTAATATATCTTTATTGATTTCAGAGAAAGAGGACAGGAGAGGGAGAGAGATAGAAACATCAATGATGAGAGAGTCATTCACTGAGCCCACAACCTGGGCATGTGCCCTGACCAGGAATCTAACCCCAATTGCCTGGAGCCTAGGTTGACTCTCAACCCCTGAGCCATACCCGGCCGGGCTGTTACTATTGTTACTATTTTTTGTATAGATAAAATGGAAATAGATAGTATCCTCCTAAATATAAATCTTAAGATATTTATATCTCAGCCAAAAAAAATTAAAGATGATAATAAGCTCATTATTGTTTTCAGGTATATGAAATATACCGAGTGTAGAAAATTCTGTTTTTTATTAGTATTTGTGATGATAAAGTTATTTAGTTTAACTAAATCTTTATATTTCTAGTAGTACCCTAATTTCCCAATGTGTTTTAAATCTTAAAAAATTAATGTTCAAAAAAAAATTAGTGTTTTAAAACAGCTTACTCAGTAATTCTGACTATGGATACATTATGTCATCAAGAGGTTTACCTGTTCAGTATAAATCAGTGAAAACCAGGAAAGATAATTTTGTTGTAAAAAATTGTCTTTTAATTAACCTATAGGGTTCTTTAAAAATCGGATCCAAAAGTGTTTATTTTTTGAGGTCTCACTATAACCTTGGAAGAAGTTCAAGGATGACAAAAGTCTATTTTAGTTACCACCAGAATAAAGTTCATATGAAGAATTATATGTTGTGTCTGCTGATTCATTGATTGGTTGATAAATAGATAAATTTTATAGAAATCTCTATTTTGCCACATATTATTTGGGTGGGAATTTTGTTTAGCTGTAGTCATTTACATGGAGCACAATGAGTTTGTAAGTAAAAGCAACTCATAGTCCATTCATATAATAAGAGAATATAGTATAAACTACTTTGAGTAAATCTCTGCACATTGTTTGCAGTCAGAAAATAAACATGGACCAAATTGTAGCAATTGTGTTTTGAAAATAAGAAATTCCCTATAACCCCTAAGAGAACTGTTATTTTAACTTTCACTTAATCACCAACTCCTTTTCTTTATCATTTTATCTCTCCTAAAATTATGGTTAATTTTGTCTGGTTTTGAATTTTATAGATTCTATACAGTATGTCTTCTTTTATGCAATATTGGATGGCGTTCATTCACTTTTATTATTGTATATTATACTTCATTATTTGACTGTACCTCAATTTATCCATTCTCCTGAATTTTGGGTTGCTTTAGTTTGGATTTCTTGCAAATAATGTTGCAATGAATATTCTTGTACATGTCATCTGTTGCCTCAGTGTGGACATTTCTGTAATGAAATACTAGGTTACTGCACCATCAGTTACTTTTTTCTACGATTTTAATTGATAAAGGTATTTTCCAAGTGTTGCACCAATTTGTTACACCTATTAGCAGACTATGAAAATTTTTATTGCTCCTCATCAACACTTGCATGGTATGTTAGTGTTTCTCATCTCAGCCACTTTTGTATGTATGTTGAAGTATATCATTGTGGGTTTAATTTATATTTTCATAATTACTAAGAGGTATTGAGTACTTTCTCATGACTGTTGACCATAAGGAATTTTTTAGTAAATTGCCTCTTCAAGTCTGCACATTTTTAAAATGAGTTGTCTGTATTTTTCTTGTTTATTTGTAGGAGTTCTTATATATGCTATATATGAGTGTTTGGTTATATACATTGTAGATATCTTGCCCTACTCCATACTGTGCCTATTCAAGGCTCTTCCTAAAAATAGTTTTTTGAGGAACAGAACATTTTTAAAAAATTTAATTTAATTTTTTCCATCACCATTTATTCCCTCTACGCCTTCTGACACCTCCCTCACGCCCTACAATCATCACACTGTTGTCCATGTCCTTGAGTTTTCTCTCTTTTTTTTTTCTTTTTTGATCAGTCCCTTCACCCCTCCCCATCAACCTCCCTCCCATCAGAGCTGTCGCCTACTCACTATCTTTGAGTTGAGGAACAGAACATCTTAATCTAATGTCATCAACAGTAGAAAATAAAACAATCCAATTAGGAAATGGCGAGCAAGAACAGACATTTCTCCAAAAAGGATAAATGGATGACAAATAAGCATATATATATATAAAGATGTCCAACAGTACTAACAATTAGGGAAATGCAGAATAAGACCCCAGTGAACCCTGGCTGGGTGGCTCAGTTGGTTGGAGCACCATTCCATACACCAAAAAGTTGTAGGTTCGATTGCCAGTCAGGGCCCATACCTAGGTTGCAGGTTTGATCTCTGGTTGTGGAGGGTACTGGAGGCAACCCATCTCAATGTTTCCCTCTCATCTCTCTCTCTTTTTCTCTTCCCCTTCCCCTCTCTCTAAAATCATAAAATGTGTTCTCGGGTGAGGATAAAAGAAAGACCCTGATGAGATACACATCTATTAGAACAACTAAAATAAAAAATAGTGACAATACCAAGTGTTGGCAAGGATGTAGCGAAACTGGATCTCTCATACATTTCTGGTGTGAATATAAAGTGGTACAGCACTCTGGAAAATAGTCAATAGTTTCTTTAAAAAACTAATCATATACTTACCATACAAACCAGCTATCTCACTCTTGGACACTTATCCCACAAAAATGAAAATTTATGTTTCCAAAAAAAACCTGTACATGAATGATTATAATAGCTTTATTTGTAAAAGCCAAAAATTGGCAACAACTAAAACTTTCTTCATGAGCTCAATTGTTAAACAAACTGTGATACATTCATACCATGGAATGCTATTCAGTACTAAAAAGGTACAAACTATTGATACACAATGTCCTAGCTTTGTGACCTCAAATTTCTCATCTTGAATTGGGACCTAGGCTTTCTTTCCTGTCTTCTGGTATTCTGTGTTGCTATTTAAATAGAATTTCAAGGTCACAAGGGATTATCAGTTGTTCTGTATTTTGTTGACCATTTTGTTGGTCACTTGTTTCTTGATTCCCGCGTTCACTTCATTTTTGGCCTCAGAATTTCTCATAATATTTATCATGTTACAAAGACACTTTAACTGTGTTTGTTTCAATGTATGAGAATTTTTCTGAAGTGCTTCTTATTTTAGGTCTAGTTAATTTGATACCAAGTCTGGTGACTAATATTTAAATTTGGTAATGATGTTTTATATCTTTTTATGCTGCTGAGTAACAGCACTTAAATATTAATTGAACCTTAATAAAGCAATGAAACTTTTAAAAATATGTCTTATACTGGTTTCAAGGACAAGTTCAAATGAGACATTTCAAAAATATTTTGAGCGATGAAACATAGTTTAAAGGAAAGTAATTACTTCAAAAGAAAACCTATCTTAGATAGGGGTTTCTGGTATTTGTGTTAACAAATCAGTTTTATTACTTTAGAGCCATGCCTTATATATAATATAGTATAATTTATGTGTCCATCAACATAAAATATAGGGCTCATTGTCAAGGTAACATTGAGTCAAATTTATTTTTTCTTTTAATTTTTACTATAATTATTTATTTTTTCCTGAATTTAGATCTTTGAAAAAAATTTTCTTAAATAAGTAGTTTTCTAGATTGATAATGTTCCTATTTCCCAGACAATAAAGTCTTTTAAAAGGCCACATATTTTATTATTAGAATTTATAATATTTTGAAACATAGTCTTATTTAAAATTTTGCTTTGGGAAACTTTTTAAAATTTTTTTGTTTTGGAACAAAAGTCAACATAGCTTTATTTTATTTAACCTCAGTGTATTGGAATGTCATGAGGAAAACATGCAGCATCAAAGAAACTTACTTTACTATCATCATCATTATTTAACTGCATTTGTGAGAAGGGATTAATCAGTCAGAGAACACTATTTGAGAAAAGGAACCCAGATTCCCAGAGAATAAGTTGTTAAGTATTTTATTTTTGTTGCCTTTACTGTCTTTACCCCTAGGTTTATAAGTGGCCTCTAGGTTAAATTACTACTACTTTACGGTTGATTTTGTATTTGTATCTCCTGCCCTCTAGGTCAACATTATGAGTTCTTGGTATCAATTATAGAATTTTATTGTCTAGACTTTTTAAAACTACATAAACAAATATATTTTAAGTAAAGAAATATTATTTATCATGTTGTTTCACTCGACATTGTTGAGTAACAATCTAATTTTTATGGAACCTTCAAATTTAGGATTATTTTCATTACAAGAATGCCAAAAAGCCAACTTTTCAAAAGAAGAATGGTAATGTTCAAAAGAGTTCACATACAGCAGTTCCTACTAGAGGTAAGAATGCATATGTAATTAACATTGTATCTTTGTAATTTAATGTGACTTTTAAAATATTATGAACAACATTATTTTTACATAACAGTTATATTTTCTCAGTTAACAGAGAAAAATTGAAAAATATAACTACCCAGAAATCAAGTAGTAATGTTATTTTATTACGAGAACGGATTATATCCTTGCAACAACAAAACAGTGTACTTCAGAATGCCAAAAAAACAGCAGAATTATCTGTTAAAGAATATAAAGAAGTCAATGAAAAGCTCCTTCATCAGCAGCAAGTATCTGATCAACGATTTCAGACAAGCAGACAGACAATAAAGGTAAAGGGAACTTAAAAAAGAAATTATAATAGACTATATTATAAAAGTATGTATTTTGTTTTACATGTATTGTTTGATTCATATTTGGGTTAGACATGTCTATGAGTTAAAAAATTTTGTAGGCACCACTAACTAGTATAATTAGTTTAATACCTAGATTTCTTTAACAAGGTTATATTAAGGAACAATCTTTATGAGGGAGAGAACACTAAATCAAAAAGACAAAGACTTTACTAGCATTCCATTTTCACTTAGTTTTTCTCATCCTAATGTTTTTATATATTTATTGCATTATACCTTAGATTTGGAATGCAGGCTCCACAAATACATATAGCTTGCTCATTTGCCCATGTCTAAAAGTTTGAATTTATCATTATAAATCACATTAAGTGGTTAATTGCCTCAGTTCTTATTTACAAATGCTAGTTTAAAATGTGAAGGTTTTAATGTAAATCTCTATATTAATATGTTCCTATAATTTATTTGTGCTTCTTTTATTCAGGTGAATTGAGTTTTCTATAACAATTTTTAGACATATTATATATTATTGCTGGTTATCATAATTTAATCTTAAAGCAAATGGAAAAGAAAAGATTGTTTCTTAACTCTCCATTCCTAAAGGTATTGGCTTGTATAAGGAATGAATTTTGGAAGTTTGTTGTTTTACACAGAATTCTTTCAAACATTTTAGAAAATAAATTTTAAATCACAATCACAAAATTTTTAAATTATACTTAAATTCTCTACTTCTAACATCTAGTGCTTTGATTCAGCAATACTCTGAAGTGTTTTAATTTTAAAGGACTTAATGTTATACTTGTTATACTAATAAGAAATGTTTTCGCTTTATTCCAAGTAGCCTTATATCCAAAGCTGATTCATGTTCCATATATATATGGTTCACTTGGTTAATAGTGACATCCAGCTCATCCATGTCCTTGCTGATTTTCTATTTATCAATTATTGAGAGTGAAGTATTGAAATCACCCACTATTATTATTTTTGTAATAACTTTAGTGAGAAATAATTTACATACCATACAATTCTCTCATTTAATTCATTGGTTTTTACAGTATTGAAAAAGTTGTGCAACATCACCAAAATCAATTTTAGAACATTTTTTTATAACCTTAAATATAGGCCCTATGCCCTTTAGCTGTCATTCTTCCATTCCCTGGTCTCTCCCAGCCCTAAACAACCACTAATCTATGTTCTATCTATGTGGTTTTGCCTATTCTAGGCATTTCATATAGATGGAATCATACAATATGTGAGCTTTGTGTCTGGCTTCATTCACTTAGCATAATGTTTTCAAAGTTTTCCATATTGCAGAATGTGGGACTTTGAAAATTTACTCCTCCATAAAAACAATAAAAAGAGGCATAAATAGTCAGGAATCAACGTTTTCATAACACTAGGTACATAATCTAATCTTCTAAGGGTTAATGTAATATTTTAAGGCAATTAATTGATGACTCGAAGTTACAAGTTTCTAACACATGAATTCCTTATTAAAATGACTGAAGACCAAATAAAAGTATTTTACATGAAAACTATAAAGCATTTTATTGAGACTGTGCATGTTGAGGAACGCTTACATTCCTCTCTGAAACTCTGGAAATTATCCAAGGCCTTGTAACAATCTGGGGAGTGTTTATTAAAAACAAACAAACAAACAAAAACCCCAGCTGAATCTAAATAAGAACAGGAAACTGCGGCATTTTAATTTGCCTTAGTTCCATCCCCCACTCTCCTAGCTCAGTAGTAGCCTGGGAAATATGATGGTCTATACAGCCTGGCAGCTTCCAGAAGAAGCAGAATGGAGCTGGAGCACCTTCAAAGCCCCATTCCCAAATAATTATCATCATTTGACCTGTCTGATGGTTCCCTGGTAGACCCCAGTTAAAAAGAGTGCCTTTTTCCTGGGGGAGAAGAAGGAGTGGTGGGGAGGACCTGGTGTTCTCAGAAACAATTACAGGCAAGTGTTTTAACTGTAGTCTACCCGAGGTGATGGATTCTAGTTTAGTTTAAGCAATATATTAACTAAATAGCTCAAAAGGAAGAGCTGGGAAGTTAGATATTCATAAGAGTTTTGAAAGGCTCTGAGACACATTCCTGGGAATCTGGAGGACACATGCCCATTAGTTAAGGAATGGATAAATAAATTGTGATATATACATACAAGGGAATATGATTAAACCACAAAAGAATAATGAAGTATTGATATATGTTACAACATGGATGAACGTTAGAAACATTAAATCTAGTGAAAGAAGCAAGTCACAGAACACATATTCTATTTATATGAAATATCCAGAATAGGCAAATCTTTAGAGACAGAAAGTAGATTAGTAAATGCTTAGGACTGGGAGGGACATAAGAATATGGGAGTGAATGCTAAAGTGTACAGGTTTCTTTTTTAAAGTGATGAAAAGGTTCTAAAATTGACTGTGTTCATAGTTAAACATATTTGTGAATATACTAAAAACATTCATTGTACACTTTAAATGGGTGAATAGTGTGGTATGTGAATTTATATCTCAGTAAAACAGTTTTTGTTTTGTTTTGTTTTTTTAAATATATCTTTATTGATTTCAGAGAGAGGAAAGTAGAGGGAGAGAGAGAGAGATAGAAACATCAGTGATGAGAGAGTCATTGATTGAGCCCACAACCCGGGCATGTGCCCTGACCAGGAATTGAACCCTGATCACCTGGATCCTAGGTCGATGCTCAACCGCTGAGCCACACCCGGCCAGGCAGTAAAACAGTTTTTAAATGTTGATTTTAAATAGGAAAATAAGAGACAAGTAGTACTGTCTGAATGAATTTTACTGATAATACATTCATCGGTGACAGAATAATATAGTAAAAATCATTATTCAAATTAATAAAGCCTACTGCTGACATAAAAATTTATTAGGTAATAAATCTTATGGTAAAATGTAAGAGCTATGTAACATTTTTAGGTATGTAAGGAACCTTCGATTACATGAAGCACTTAACTTCAATTATTATAAAACTTGACAAAGTAAATATATTTAAGGTTAATTTTTTAAAAATTAGTTTCTAATAGAAACAATATATTTTCTTTTCCTAACATTCAATTTTCTATTGCAAAAATGAACAGGGACTAGAAATATGTTAAAGCTAACGGTATTGACTAGCTTTTCCAGTTCGAATACTCAATTCTTTGACTTAAGAAACTTACATTACATCTGAAACATATGGAAAATGAGTCCCAAATCTTAAGAATAACAAGATGTAAATGCAACCTTTTTTATTCCAGTAATGTTCCTTAAGTGTATTATGACCGTGGAAATTCCTTATAGTTACATATGTGTCATCATACAGATGTAAACAGCATTGACTCACTGAGGCAAATGACCAGAATCCATATCATAAAATAAAATGAAACTTTGCACATAAGTGCACCTTTTAGAAATTCCTTTGAATGTTTTATTTTAAGTAGTAAATAATTATGTATATCAACTGATAGATAACAAATGTAAATATTTGTGAAATTTTACATACTTTAAAATTTATTTTCTAAAAAGCTCTCTCCTGAAATAATGTGTTTAGAGAAAGCAGAATAATCCTTATCATTCATTTATATGAATTATGTTATTAATTTTCTCTCTGTGCTTGTTTAAGTGGCAAAATGGATTTCAAGAGGTGTTTTATCACTATAGATTTAATTATCCCTCCCCCCCCAACCAAATCATATGTTGAAGTCTTAGTCCCTAAAGTTATGGTATTTGGAGAGGGGGTTTTGGGGAGGTAATTAGGTTTAGATGAGGTTGTAAGGAAGGGGCCCTCATGTTGGGCTTTGTGCCCTTACAAGACAAGAGACACCAGAGCTCTCTCTCTCCACCATGGGGGGACAGATTGAGAAATAACTGTCTACAAGCCAGAAAGAGAATTCTCATCAGAACCAGACCATGCTGGCATTCTCATCTCATAGTTCCAGCCTCCAGAATTGTAAGAAATTAAGCATCTGTTGTTTAAAGCACCCAGTCTATGTTTTTTTTGGTTTTTTTGTTTTAAATTTTGGCAACTCTAGTAGACTAGTACAGATTTTGGTCCTGGGAGTTGGATGATGTTTAACAAATACCTAAAAATGTGGAAGCAACTTTGGATAATGGGTAGATTCTGGAAGAGTTTTGAGGTGCATACTAGAGATACGGACATTAAAGGCATTCTGGAGAGGTCTCAGATGGAAATGAGGAACATATTATTAAAAACAGAAGAAAGGCAATTCTTTCCTTGGCTGGGCTCTGTTTTAGTGTTTTTCCAAAGGTAGAACTTGTGAGCGATGAATTTGTATTTTTTTATTAAGACATTAATTTTTGGAGCTGCTTTAGGTTTAGCAAAATTAAGGGGAATGTACAGAGATTTCCCATATATCTCCTGCCCCTACACATGCATGAACTCCCCCGTTATCAATATCCCCACCAGAGAGGTACATTTATTATAACTGACAAACCTATATTGATACATCATCATCACCCAAAGTCCATAGTTTACCTTAAGGTTCACTCTTGGTGTTGTACATTCTTTGGGTTTGGACAGATGTATGATGACATGTATCCATTTTCACTGCCCTAAAAATCCTCTGTGCTATTCTTATTTATCCCTCCTCCAATCCCTGGCAACCATTGTCCTTTTTACTGTCTCCATAGTTTTGCCTTTTCAAGAATGTTATATACAGGCATACCTCAGAGATATTGGGGTTCAGCTCCAGACCGCCATAATAAAACAAGTAACATAATAAAGCAAATCATAATTTTTCTTGCTAGTGAAGGGTCTTTCCTTCAATTTGTAAAATATTCAACATCTGTGAAGCGCAATAAAGCAAAGTGCAATAAAAGAGATGTTGCTGTAGTTGGAATCATACAATATGGAGGCTTTTCAGATTGGCTTCTTTCTCTTAGTAATATGTATTTAAGGTTCCTCCATGTCTTTTCATAGCTCAGTAGTTCATTTCTTTTAATGCTGAATAA